TTACCAGCTAGAAACACTGGCCTAAAATATTATATTACATCGCCATACTTCTTTGAATCGATTGATAAAGGATATAACTTTTATCTAATACAAAAAGTACGCACTTAAAATGATTAGTCCCCAATTAGAGTGGAATACCACCCCACTGCGTCGGTTGAACACACAAAGCTGAAGACATTATAAACCCTCCTACTAGACAGACACACATACACAATTACGCATTATTATTTACCATCAATATACCTTATTTAAATATATAAGAATCTTTTAAGTTTATATATATATATATATATATATATATATATATATATATATATATATATATATACTTAAGTGAACATTGAAGTCAACATTCAGAGGCGACAGGCTATTTCATGCTAAGCGCAATCGTCAATTCGCGAGTGTTTTTTTTTTTCTCGACTATTTATCTATATGGGTCAGTGGTGCATTGTGGGTAATGCATTCTGGCGGTTATTTTGGCTGGAGTGGCTTGTTTATTTATTTGTGAACTTTATGTAGACAGGAATGTTCTTTAAAAATGTTGTTTCTTTCTATTTGAATCTTGAATATCGATAATGTTGTCGTGAAACCAACATATATATTTACTTTTTGGCCAGAGATACAATCTGCCAAAGGATATTGAAACTGATATAGAAAATTGGTCTTTTGAAAAACATTATTTGGTGGAGAAGAGTTATTGCGGATGATTAAGTTGGTTGTATTAAATTTAGTATAATATATAATTTTATTTTTACTGGGATTAGTGGGAGATATATTAGTACTTATGATTTTTTTTAAGGATTTTTTCATTTTGTTTCTAGATAGAGTTTATTTGATTGCGATATATTAGGTTGACATGTTTAGGGTTATTTGAGGAAGTATTACGTTCTTTTTTATTAATTTTAATATTTCTAATAGTTCGTTTAATTTATCAACAATGTAATTAAGAAAGTTGTTATTAATGAGAGTTTGTTTAATGTTTTTTAATTCAGTGTAGAAAATCTTTTTTGTGGAAGAGTTTTGCACGATTTATTACATTTTGTATAATCGCTGTTTTGTAATACGACATTCGCTCTTATATTTTTAGAGATCATGTGTTTATGTTAGTTTTTTTATATGGAGAGGTAGTAAATGTATTATTATTGGTGTCTTTCAGTATATCAAGAAAAGAAAATTGCTATTATTAAGTTCATATGTGAATTTAAAAACGGAGTTTTTTTGGTTATTTTTGTAAGTTTTGAGTTCATGTATTTCATCTATGTTTTTAACTAAACGGTGAATATCATCTATATATCTTAGGTATATGGGGGGATTTTTAGTGGTATTAGATATTTTATTTTCAAAGTATAATCTATAAGTTACTGAACGTTGGTCCTGGAAATGAGCCCATGGAAACGCCATCACGTTGTATGCAGATATTATTTTGATGGCCATAGAATTTTTTTCAGTGGTATAAGTCAAGAATAGTCTCCGTAATATATATTAATTTTTAATTATAATTATACCAATCGTTTCTTTAACTGGGACATTGGTAAATAAACTTTCAACATCAAATGAGATTGAAAGTACTTGGGAAAATAAAAGGAATGAGAAAAACTACGGCGCCTTCCATAATGACGTTGATGGCAACATTAAGAAATTGATCCGTACATTTGAAAGGATTAAAATAAAAATAGACATATGTCAAGATTATTCAACGAAACATTTTGAATGAAGATATGCTGCCTATATATATATATATATATATATATATATATATATATATATATATATATATATTTTTTTAAACTTCCTGATCGTTTTATTTAATAATTTTCATATTCTTCTGAGATTTCCTATCCTCGGAGCCAAATCCCTTTTCCAACGGGGGTCAGTGCTGCTTAACGGCATATACTAATAGGAAAGTTGTTCGCGATCAGGACTTTTTTTTCATGGAAACTTTTAAGTTGCTGTGAATCTCTTTTACGTGACACGGAGATGGGACGGATGAGGTTCAAGGGGAAACCCTTTGCAGAAAGATCAAAGGGAGATAACCCGATATTTTAGGCCCCCGTCTATTACGAAGAAAATAGTGTTCTGATATTGAAACATCCAATGGAATATTGTTGACCTTCATGAATCAAAGGCGCCAATTCTTCATTCACATTGAGCAGAGAATCTTTTCTTTCAGGCATCTAACATTGACAAAGATTTTATATATATATATATATATATATATATATATATATATATATATATATATATATATATATAGCTTTTGGAAAATATAAGGAATAATTTAGAATTTCTCTTTATAGAACTATTTTTCATGATTTTTTTTATTTTTTTGTTGGTATTAATTAGACTGTTGTATTTATTCTTGCCATTGTTGATTATTTCAAATTTACCCTCTTCATCATCTGCACTCGAGATTTTTTTTAGTCTTAAAAATGTTTTAGGTTTGAATCTTAGATTTTTAGTCTGTCTTTCTTTCTTACTTTTATTTTATTCTGTTGTATACATGTTTTTCTTTTTCTTTTCTATGTCCATTTATCCCGAACACTTTCTTTCACTTATCACCTGCTTTCTTTCTTTTCATTTATCTGTATTTCTTATAGAAGTAGCTTTATTTTGCTCCATCATTTTTTTTTCATGCACCGTTTCGTTTTCTTCTTCTTTTTGCAACATTTTTCTTTTTCAATTTCGCTTATCTGATTTCTTTCTTTCTTTCTTTCTTTCTTTTCTTTTCTTTTCTTTTTTCTTTTCTTTTTATTTAGGTTTTTTTCTGTCTCTTACGCTTATCCGTTCTCTTTTTTTTTTCTTTCTTTTTTTTTTCTTTCTTTTCTTTTTTTTTTTTTTTTTCTTTCTTTCTTTTTTTCTTTCTTTCTTTCTTTCTTTCTTTCTTTCTACGCCTTATTTTTTTCTGTGTCTCTTACTTTTATTTTTTCTCTTTCTTTCTTTCTTTTTTTTCTTCTTTTTTCTTCTTTTTTTTCTTTCTTTTTTCTTTCTTTCTTTCTTTCTTTCTTTCTTTCTTTCTTTCTACGTTTCTTATTTTTTCTGTTCTTTTTACGCTTATCCGTTCTCTTTCTTTCTTTCTTTGTTTCTTTTTTTTTTTCTTTCTTTCTTTCTTTCTTTCTTTCTTTCTTTCTTTCTTTCTTTCTTTCTACGCCTTAGGCTTTTTCTGTGTCTCTTACGATTATCCTTTATCTTTCTTTCTTTCTTTCTTTCTTTCTTTCTTTCTTTCTTTTTTCTTTCTTTCTTTCTTTCTTTCTTTCTTTCTTTCTACGCCTTAGCCTTTTTCTGTGTCTCTTACGATTATCCGTTCTCTTTCTTTCTTTCTTTCTTTCTTTCTTTCTTTCTTTCTTTCTTTCTACGCCTTAGGCTTTTTCTGTGTCTCTTACGATTATCCGTTCTCTTTCTTTCTTTCTTTCTTTCTTTCTTTCTTTCTTTCTTAGACGTATTCACTACTCTATGTATTTTCCTTTTTTCTATCTTTCTTAGTTTTCTGCAATATTCTTTTCATTTTCTTTACTTTCTTTCTTTCTTTCTTTCTTTCTTTCTTTCTTTTACGTCTACCGTTTTCGTTTCATTTTTCTTTCTTTCATTATCTTTTTGTTTCTTCTATGTCTACACAATTCTTTTCATTTTCTTCTCGTTCTTTCTTTCTTTCTTTCTTTCTTTCTTTCTCTATTCTTTTTTGTTTTCATTTATCTTCTTTTTTTCTTTGGCGACGAACCACGAGAAAGAAAAAGTTTTTCCTTACATCCTTCTTTTTTCATTGATGCTGAAAAGCATAAAGTAACTGAGAAAAAGAAAAGGAACATTGATCAATATTTCAATATTTTATTCATCTTGCACCGGCGAAGGGGGAAAAAATGAATAAAGTGGAGAAAAGAAAAAGAAAATTGAAGTAATGTTATCAAAATCAATATGACCAAAAAACCAGTCTTGCAGATCTGCGATGAAAGCGATGCATTTCGTCGCCTCATCGATTTCTTCAGCAAAAGAGTCGTTTGGCGTTGAATACCCCACCCCCGAGGATTTGATTGAGAAAAAGACTTTTAGTCTTCAACTTTTTTTTTAATCACCTTGATCCATCTAAGTGGCAAGAAAAAGGACAAATAAGTTTTTTCGTTCAAAAAACCCGCAGGATAAGTCGTTTTTTTACAATCCTCTGAATGTTATTTAAACCGGAAACATATCTTGGATGGTAAGAATAATTTTATTTTACGGGTGTAGTAAATATGTTTTTTAGATTAACAACATTTCGAGATACAAGTCTTACTATTTAACCCATAGCTGTGAAGGAGATTGATCTATAGATTATTTGCGGGTAAGTGAATGTAACGATCATGACTGGCTCAATTCTCCCATTTCTAATTCAGAGCCGCTATTCATTACACTACCCTTTTTTTTGTATTCTTCTGAATAGCTGAGGTCATTGCTCAAACCTGGGATCCAGCATTGTTTTGGAGTTGTTTCATTGATAAGCTTTTATTATCTAAAACAAATCAAGTACTAGAATATGAGGTCCCTACACGCAAGCCATCAATCTGCCACTGGGTGTCATGCCACTAGAGATTACCGGTTGTTCGCTGGTGGGCTGCCACCAGAAGACCGCTGGTTTTGCCATCGGCGGCCTGCCAGCAGGCCACTAGCAACTTGCGTATAGGGGTGTTCCCTGTCATTATAGGGCTATTATAAAAATATCGATGATCATAACAGCCGCATTTCTTTAATCATTCGATATGAAAAGAGATTGATTTTTAAAATATTTATTTTGTCTTTCCTTTGTATTTTGTCTATTCTTTTCTTGCGGATTCTTCTTGTTTTTCCATTTTCTCAGATAATTGGATCTCTTTCTTTCTTTCTTTCTTTCTTAGATCTCTAAGACTTTCTTTCTTGCTTTCATTCATTCATTCAATGATTTATCAGCAGGTTTTATTTTCCCCTCTCAACTCGACATTTACTTTTTCCTTCTCTTTTAGGCAACACATTCATTCTTGTTTATTTTCTAATACGTAATCCAAACTTTGTTTGTTTGTTTGTTTCTTTCTTTCTTTCTTTCTTTTTTCCTTCCATCTAACTTTCTTTCTTTCTTTCTTTCTTTCTTTCTTTTTTCTTTCGTTATTTCTTGATCATATCTGTACCTTTTTGTATTCGTTGATCTGAATAATGACTTCTTTCTTTCTTTCTTTCTTTCTTTCTTTCTCATATATGCACATTTTTTTAATTTACCTGAATATTGATCCTTTCTTTCTTTCTTTCTTTCTTTTTCAGAAGTCATCTCTTTGCTTTTCATTTTTTCAATTTTCTGTCTTTTTCCCACACGTCCACATTTCACTTTATAGTTTTTATTAATCGTCTGTCTGTCTTTCTTTCTTTCTTTCTTTCTTTCTTTCTTTCTTTGTCTTTTTACTTTCAGTAATTCTTTCTTTCTTTATTTCTTCTCTCATATCCCGGACATCCTTTTTTCTTTCTTTTTATTCGTCCCCTCTCTTCACCCCGTTCTCTGCTTGCATTCATTTTCCATTTTGTTTCTTTATTTTCACAAAGGTATTTTTCTTCTTTTTTAGGTCCATGAAAACATACGGCTTGTTTACGACACAGGAACTGACTCGTGTATTACATAAAATATTGATAAAAAACCCGCAGTCCACGCACAAATATCAGAGTGAAATGTTCGTATTTATTGATCAGGTATATGTTTTTCCTAAATGCCTATTTGCTTTGCCTTCTAAATCAATATATATATATATATATATATATATATATATATATATATATTATATGTTGATTTAGAAGACTACTTGGCCTTGCCCGGATTTAGAAATGTCTAAATACAGTCCCATGATTACTTAGTATGAATCGTTTTAAAAAGATGCGGACAATCTTCGGTCGGCCACAAAGTGCTGATTCAGTCCGAAATGTTGAAGGTAAGTAATTCAAAATGGGTGTTGGCAGAAAAATGGCTATCGGCGCTAAAATTGAAATCAGTGAGCAAAGTTCAAAATCCTGCCTGGCATGTTGCATTTTTCTTTTTACACTAATATCCTTGGAAAAAAAAAGGCTTATTTGCCCCAAATTCCAGCTATGGGTTTTTTAACCTTGGATACAAGCCTGTCTAGGAGAAAGAAAAATATTAATTCAAGACCGACAAACTGTACAGTGTGATGATGATCTACATTCTAAAAGAAAATCAGATTTAAAAAAAAGGAATTTAAAATTAATTACGTTGTAAAGTTTACAAAATTTCATAAAAAAATAGATAAAAACAAATAAATGAATTGAAATGAGAATAAAAAAAACAAATATCTTATTGAACAAAATCCATTTCTTTCCTAAATAAAAAAATAAAGAAACATAAATATATATATAATAAAATAACATGAATAAAACTGGTTGGACTCCATAACCAAACACATCCCCCACCCCATAAGCAAACACATACCCCACCCCATAACCAATCATATCCCCCATTGAACAAACCAATCACATCCCCCACCCCATAAACAAACACATCCCCATCCCATAACCAAACACATTCCCCACCCTTTAACCAAACACATCCCCCAACCCCATAACCAATCACATCCCCCACCCCATATCCAAACACATCTCCCACCGCATAACCAATCACATCGCCCACCACGTAACCAAACACATCCCCACCGCATAACCAAACACATCCCCCACCGCATAACCAATCACATCCCCCACCCCATAACCAAACACATCCCCCACCGCATAACCAAACACATCCCCCACCGCATAACCAATCACATCCCCAACACATAACCAAACACATTACCCACCCCATAAACAATCACATCGCCCACCCCATAACCAAACACATTCCCCACCCCATAACCAAAACACATCCCCCATCCCATAACCAAACACATTCCCCATGATGCATAACCAAACACATCCCCCATTGTTAACCAAACACATCCCCCACCCCATAACCAAAAACATCCCCATTGCATAACCAATCACATCCCCCAATTTTTATAACCAAACACATTCCCCACCCCATAACCAAACACATCCCCATCCCATAACCAAACACTGCCCCCACTGCATAACCAAACACATCCCCCACCCCATAACCAAACACATCCCCCAATCCATAACCAAACACATCCCCACCGCATAACCAAACACATCCCCCACCCCTTAACCAAACACATCCCTGACCCCATAACCAAACACATCCCCCACCCCTGTAAGCAAACACATCCCCCACCCCATAACCAATCATATCCCCACCCCATAACCAATCACATCCCCACCCCATAAACAAACACATCCCCCATTCTATAACCAAACACATTCCCCACCCCATAACCAAACACATCCCCCACCCTATAACCAATCACATCCCCCACCCCATATCCAAACACATCTCCCACCGCATAACCAATCACATCCCCACCACATAACCAAAACATCCCCCACCGCATAACCAAACACATCTCCCACCGCATAACCAATCACATCCCCCACCCCATAACCAAACACATCCCCCACCGCATAACCAAACACATCCCCCACCGCATAACCAATCACATCCCCAACACATAACCAAACACATTCCCCACCACATAACCAATCACATCCCCACCCCATAACCAAACACATTCCCCACCCCATAACCAAACACATCCCCATCCCATAACCAAACACATTCCTCATCCCATAACCAAACACATCCCCCATCCCATAACCAAACACAGCCCCCCACCGCATAACCAAACACATCCCCCACCCCTTAACCAAACACATCCCCAACCCCATAACATAAAAAACATCGTCCACCGCATAACCAATCACATCCCCCACCCCATAACCAAACACATTCCCCACCCCATAACCAAACACATCCCCCATCCCATAACCAAACACATCCCCACCGCATAACCAAACACATCCCCCACCCCATAACCAAACACATTCCCCATCCCATATCCAAAACATCCCCAATGCATAACCAATCACATCCCCACCCCATAAGCAAACACATCCCCCACTGCATGACAAAACACATCCCCACCCCATAACCAAACACATCCCCACCCCATAACCAATCACATCCCCCACCCCATAACCAAACACATCCCCCAAGACTATAACCAAACACATTCCTCACCCCATAACCAAACACATCCCCATCCCATAACCAAACACAGAAATTTTGCATAACCAAAAACACATCCCCCACCCCATAACCAAACACATCCCCCAATCCATAACCAAACACATCCCCAATGCATAACCAAACACATCCCCAACCCCATAAGCAAACACATCCCCACCGGATGACAAAACACATTCCCCACCCCATAACCAAACACACATCCCCCCCTATAACCAATCACATCCCCACCCTATAACCAAACACATCCCCCAGTGCATAACCAATTACATCCCCCACCCCATAACCAAACGTATCCCCACCCCATAACCAAACACATCCCCACCCCATAACCAAACACATTCCCACCCCATTACCAAACACATCCCCCCACCCCATAGCCAAACACATACCCCAAGTTATAACCAAACACATTATAGAACCCCATAACCAAAAACATCCCCAACGCATAAACAATCACATCCCCACCCCATAACCAAACACAAATTAAAACCCCATAACCCAACACATCCCCTATCTCATAACCAAACACATCCCCACCATATAACCAAACACATATTTACCGCGTAACCAAACACATCCCCACCCCATAACCAAACCCATTCCCCACCCCATAACCAAACACATCCCCCACCCCATAACGA